ATCTGAGCCCTACTTCCAAGTTAAAAAAAAATAAAAAACAATTTGCAAGAAAAATTCTTAAAAAAGCTGTAAGTTCGGCGGGCCGATCTTTGAATACCCACCACTATTTGGAACGAATTTGGCAATTTTCAAAAAAAAAGTGCGTTAAAAAAACTGTTTAAATCTTAAAAATACCGAATGAAGCCGTTATGTTGGGGTCTATACGACGACGTGGACCTGCATCATCAAAATACCGAATATAGGGAGGTACTTTTATATGAGGGCTATACCAAAAAGTGCACCTGCACAGAAACTTTTCTGTCTTAGGCTGTACAATCCATTACGAACTTCAAATACCAAATTTGAAACAATTCCGGTGTATAATGTAGCTAAAATCATCAAACCACCGAATATCGGGAAGTACGGTTATATGAGGGCTATACCAAAACGTGGACCTGCACATACAATTTTCTGTCTTAGGCCGGTTAATAATGTCGCTAAAATAATCAAAATACCGAATATAGGGAGGTACCGTTATATGGTGGTTATACAAAGACGTGGACCCGCACAAACAATTTTCTGTTATAGGATGTACTATCCATTACGAACTTCAAATACCAAATTTGAAATAATTCCGGAGAATACTGTCGCTAAAATCATCAAAATAACGAATGTCGGAAGGTACCGTTATATGAGGGCTATACCTAAATGTGGACCTGCATAGACAATTGTCTGTCTTAGGCTGTAGTATCCATTTCAAACTTCAAATACCAAATTTGAAAGAATTCCGGTGAATAATGTCGCTAATCACTAAAATACAAAAATAGGGAGGTACCATTACATGGGGCTATACCAAACCATGGACCTACACGACCCATTTTCAATACCAAAGTCCGGCAGACATAATATACATTTGAGTAAAATTTTATCAACCTACTTAATTTCGTTCGGAAGCTAGAGTGATTTCCACAGACGGTCAGACGGACAGAAGTCGCTAAATCGAAATAGATTTTTTTTGCCGATCACGAGTATATATACCTAATGGGGTCTAAAATGTATATTTCGAGGTGTTACAAACCGTCCATACTTTGGTAGAGGATATAACTGGCCGACTGACCAAAGTAGTACATATTTTCACATTTCATCTAACACGGATAAAAATCCTGATGTGTGCAAAATTACAAGAAAATCAAATACTTATAACCAATTTTATGAAAAATCGTAAATTCTGAAGAATTCCATATTCATATCAGGTTTCTGTTTGGGAGAAATATTTGTCTTCACTACGGATATTGCTCTAGCAAAAATATTTGGAAGTGCGAAATTTGAAGAGAGTTGGATGCCTATTTCACATTTTATGAAGGTTTTATTTTTCCACCCATCTTCACCGCAGATCTTGTGTTAGTAGAAATTATGGAATGTGTGAAATTTGAAGAGAACCGGATGCTTATTTCGGATTTTATGCTCGTTTTGGTGACTCAAAATTTGGACCCTTTGTGGGGGCCGTACCAGAAGGAATGGTCCGATCTCTACTATCTTTTTAACAGGAAGCTGGCATAGCTTCAGGGATGTATTTCTATAATATTACCAAGAATATAATACAATGTTCAATCACGTTTATATTGGTTTAAATCTTGGTCATTTCAATTGTATATCTTTTACTTCTTCAGCATCATTACAGATCTAGACGCCCAAATGTAGTGGAGATGAAACTAAGAACCTGTCTCTGTATGAGGACACGAAAGTGAATACGAACAAAAAATTCCATACCAAATATAATTTTCAATTTTTTATTTAATAAAAAAATCAAAAAAAAATAGAAAACATTTTCGCAAAAATTCCCACAAAACTGAATTACGTGGAAGAAGAAACAATCGAAACAAATTTCACCTTCTTCGCTGAGGTGGGACCACCTTTAGTATTCAACGGCTATAACATATTCAAAGTTGCTTAAGATTTGGTACATATTTTTTATATCCTCCACCATAGTTTGGAGAGTATATTAAGTTTGTCATTCCGTTTGTAACACCTCGAAATACACATTTTAGACTCCACAAAGTATATATATATGTTCTTGATCAGCATAAAATTCTATGTCGATTTAGCGATGACCGTCCATCTGTGGAAATCCCTATAGCTTCCGAACGAAATGAAGTAGATTGACAAAATTTTACTCAAATCTGTATTATGTCTGCAGGACTTTAGGTATTCAAAATGGGCCATGTAGGTTCACGTCTTCGTATAGCACCCATATAACGGTACCTGACGATATTCGGTATTTTCACGATTTTAGCGACATTATTTACCGGAATTATTTGAAATTTCATATTTAAAATTCGTAATGGGTACCACAGCCTATGACAAAAATTTTTGTATGCAGGTCCACGTCTTCGTATAGCCCCCATATAACGGTACCTTCCGATATTCGGTATTTAGATTATTTCAGCAACATTATTCACCGGAATTGTTTCAAATTTGGTATTTGAAGTTCATAGTGGATACTATATACTAAGATAAAAATGAGCAATGTAGGTTCACGTCTTCTTATAGCCCCCATATAACGGTACCTCCCGATATGGGGTATTTTGATGATTTTAGAGATATTATTTACCGGAACAATTTCAAATTTAGTATTTGAAGTTCGAAATGTATGCTACAGCATAAAACAGTAAATTGTCTGAGCAGGTCCACGTCTTCGTATAGCCCCCATATAACAGAACCCCCGATATTTGGTATTTTGACGATTTTAGCGACATTATTAACCGGAACTATTTCAAATTTAGTATTTGAATTTTGTAATTAACACTACAGCCTATGCCAGAAAATTGTCTGGGCATGCCCACGTCTTCGTATGGCCCGCATATAACGGAACCCCCGATATTCGGTATTTTGATGATTTTAGCGACATTATTTACTGGAATTATTTCATATTTTGTATTTGAAGTTCGTAATAGATACTACAGCCTATGCCAGAAAATTGTCTGTGCAGGTCCACGTTTTATAATCCCCATGGTACCTCCCAATATTCAGTATTTTGACGATTTTAGCTACATAACAAACAGATTTTTTTCAAGTTTTGCATTTGAATATTGTAATAACTTGCCTATGCAGGTCCACGTCGTCGTATAGACCCTAATATACGGCTACATTCGGTATTTTTAAGATTTTAAACGGATTTTAATTTTTATGAAAATTGCCAAATTTGTACCTTATGGTGGACAGTATTCAAAGTTCGGCCTGGCCGAACTTACAGCTTTTTTACTTGTTTTTATTCAAGTTTAGCATTTAAATATTTATAATGGTTTATGACAAAAGTTGCCTACGTCGTCGTATAGACCCTAATATAACGGTTACATTCTGTATTTTTAAGAGTTTAAAAGATTTTTTTACGGATTTAATTTTTTTAAAAATTCCCAAAACCGTTCCAAATGGTGGAGGGTATTAAAATTTCCGCGCGGCCGAACTTAGCTGTTTTTTACTTCTTTATTTTTTCAATAATATATAAAATTTGCCCAGGAGAATAAAACCACTCTACTCTCTGAGAAATAAGTTGCTGGACATTTCTTGGTAGAAAGTAACCAAATACCTACCTTTAAAGTGTTATCAAACCCACAATTTTTCTTTCGTTACACATTCTGCATTCGAAAATTTTTTTGTAATCCTCACATATTGTTGTCATTTTATTTATAGAATTTTTCCATTTCCATTAACCCATTTACTTTAAATGATTTGTATTTAAGAAATACTAAATTTATTACTAATTAATTTGCTTTGACATAAGTGAGACAATTTTTGTGTAACCTAATCTCACAGCCAATAAATTAGTTTCTAAACAAACTGAAATATATTTAAAGAAATACTTCGTTTGAAAATGTTTTCACAGCCTGCCGGTATTGTGTTACATGGCACGAACACAAACGTCAACATACAATGTACCTATCTGTTGTAACATTTAATTAAAGAAGAGTTAAAAACAATTACATCTGGTGACAATAACATCGGCTATTAATAGCAGCAAACCATTCTCAAAACATTTCCATTTAAATGCCGGTTCACATTATTTTTTACCGAACCCCACACACACTCAGCATTTCCTGTTAAATAACATTGACGGAAGCGGAAATAATAATCCATACCAACACACACCATTGCAGAAATCATAGCATCGCTGCAAGCAACAGTGTTTCCCCGCTGGTTCGGCAATGTTAAAATGCATTCGCATTTTCATTTCGACGGCATTTAACAGCAACGCCAGTCTGATCCCAACAACAGCCGACAAAACATGCAACAGCAAACATTTTATTCCACGGCTGTGATGCTGCCTTCATACATTGCATGCCATCATACCGACAATGAGCCAACATCGCACCACTGTGTTCGATGCTGGGTCCCATTGCACAAGCTGTGCGGCATGAATGAATGAAATGTTTACTTGCCAACGTTTGTTGTGTAAATTGCTTCCTTGTCACCTTGACATACAGATGGCGCCGTTTCGAACCACACGACCAAGCAGCTGAGTTCTAACCTCACTGTTATACCCCGTGTATGTTGTAATTCCCAACGAACCCAACATTTTTACATTGTAAAGACAACAGCCAATGGATCTGCGTGCTGCTCTGTGGTGGTTGGCAGATGTTTGTCAACCAAAAGGAAGATACATTTTTCGCCGGTAGTATGTTATCGTGCTGCTTGGTCGTCGTCGTGGTTGGGTCTTCTGTTTTAACATAGGAGATTTTTAGCCTCTGATTGGAGTAGGTTGGTATACAACACCGGCCAGCTCGCTTAAGTCAGTAGGCTAACACTGAAACCGTCGTCGTGGTTGTCGTTCCCGTCTGTTTGCCTGCGCTACAACAACAGGCCGTTCTTGATTATGTTATGCGGCATTCTGACTGTTAGGTTCTGTTGGCTGGCTGGCTGGCTGGCTGGCTGACTGGCTGGCTATACGATGCTACTTGTTCGTGTTGGGTGAATGAATGAACAAACGGTTGGTTGTGTGTGCCTGTGTGCCTGCCTTGTGGAATGGGTAAACGATAGCAGCGACGACCATAACCGAACCGAATGTGCCGAACGTAATGCGAGCATTTTCAGTTTGAATTTAGATACGAAAGCATTTGGGAGTATCTCGAAGATACGCGGTTGATGAAAATATACAACAACAATAAAACACACACACAAATCTATTACAACATTAAAGCCAAGCATTACAAAATCAACCAACAATTCTAAGTGAAACGGCTGGAAGTTGGAAAAATACGTTACTACGAAGAAATTTTGAATTTTAATTTCGTAAAGACGAAACTTGGAAAATAAACTCAAATATTTTTTTTTGACAAAAAAATTGAAAAAAAAAAATTAACGAAAATTGTGAATTAAAAAAATAAGTATTTTAATTTTTTCTTTGGGGAAAAATTATAAAACAACGTGGGCGATTATGTTAACGGCAAATCTTACTTAGAGCGGAAAAAGTGCGTGCGTTCGTTCGTTCCTGCGTGCGTGCGTGCCATTAGCAAAGTTTAGTGAAGAGTGCTTTTGTGAATGATCGGTGAAAATTATGCTGCTGATCCTCAACATTGCCAAAAACCGCCAAACACCGCAACTCTTTCTCTCGCCGTGAGTTACGTGAAAAATAGCAACAAATTCACGGCGGAAACATGTTGGGCCAGCCGCCGCAAAACCCCACCGAATAAATCCCAAAAACAAATCTAACTTAACCCAGTAAAGAAAAGAGCAAATCTCGAGTAGTAAAACATATATTTCGTTTTTTTTTTCCTGCCAAGAGACCCCAAACATGGGCGCTTCACTCACCAAACACCAGCACCGCCAGCAGCAGCAGCGGCTCTCGCTGCTGTCAAATTATTATCGGTCGCAATTTCGATTTCAGTGAGCGAATGTGTGTCTTATGGTGCGGCCGCAAACTTTTACGAATTACGAAACGCTAATTGTTTGCTGATAGTGAGTGGTACGAAAAAACAACAACAACAACAACAACGCCAGCAAAGAATCAAAAAAAAAGCGCTAATCTGTCGCAAACGAATACCGCGCTATCTGCCATGTGAAAATCTTCACAAGAAGTGTTTCTCGTAACAAGTGATTTCATGAATGAATGAAAAAAGAAAAATTTATCGCAAGTGCAGTGGAGGAATATCCTGGCTGGCTCTCAGGCCCGGCTGCAGTTGTTGAAAAATAAACAAGTGAAAAATTACAATTTTCCCCGAGAAAACCGCGAGTCATTATTGTGTCGAACCGAACAAAGTCAAACACCTTCTAATGGACTACGTGCGCTTTGACAAACCGCAAAATACAAAAAAAAAAAAATAACGCAACGATAAGCAGAGCAAAACAATTTTCCGGTTTTTGTGTCAATTAATAAAAAAAAAAAGAAATAAAAAATAAAAATTTGCCAAAAAAAGTTTGAATTATCAGAAAAAAATCTTTTACGCAAATACAAGCCCCCCCGCCACCCAACCAATCGATACGATACGAATTTGAAATGTGTCCAAAGCCAATGAAAACAAGATAATCACAGAGCCATTAATTAATACCCCAAAATACAACTCCAAAACAACATCGACAACAACAACAAAAAAGTGAAATCGTTACAATTTTAATTCAATTATTTTTTTCTTGTTCGAAAAGTCAAAAGAAAATCATCGATTTTCATCTGTGGCAATGTTTGAAACAAAGCAGTTAAATGAAATCGATTTTGAAAATTTTGAAATAACCAAAAGGAAGAAAAAAATTATTATTATCAAGAGAAATAAGTGAAAAAAAAAATATTGAAGAGTACAAAAAAAGTGTTTGATTGATTTGGAAAAAAAAAATAAATAAATAAAAGAAAAACATCGAAGCCTCAACTTTAATGAAAGAAATATATTCTTCAACATTTTGCCAATAAATCGGAGGAAAAATTAATATTTACAAAAAGGTAAAGATAATATTTGTTACTATTTTTTTTTCAAGTCAAAAATTATATTAAAAATTGTAGGATTGTATTTTTATGAAATCAAAGAGAAGCTAAAAAAATAAGTTTTAGTAGGATAGTTAAAAATATCAGACTGGTTTTAGGAAAGAAATATTTATTTATTATTACTATTATTATTTTTACTACTTTTATTTTTTATTTTATTTATTTATTTATTTATTTATTTTAAATAGCCTCTTCTTCGCATGTGAAATAATTTATTTATTTTATTTTATTTATTTTTTTGAAAAATAGCCTTTTTTCGCGTGTGAATTAATTTACCAAAAAAAAAAAAACATAAAAATTTAGTTGCAATCATTTAAAAGCAAACAGTTGTGTGATATTGTTTTTAATAATTGCTGCAATATTTTATTATATATAATAATATTTTTAATTTATTATTAAGTATTCGGTTAGACTATACAAAATTCCCTGTTGTGGTGCGCAGTTTTTTTTTCAGTTTCTAATGGCAATGTAAAAAATTAATTGATTTAAAAAAAATAAAAATAATAAATAATAAGCTTCTGAAGAAGTTGGAAAAAAGACCAGTGAAACGTTGAGTTGAAAAATGAAAAAAAAAATATTCTGCAAAAAATGATACAGGTTATTAACTACTGACTTGCCATTGACTTTGTCCCCAGTACTTCTGACCTAGTGTAGACAAGCAATGCTTTTTTGCTACAGACATTTTGCCTGAGTTTGACATTCAGAAGTCACTTTAGTGACATTGTCAAGAGTAAGTATGTAGTCCATGAGAGACTTTGGAATTAGGGAGTCAGGACATGAGACGACATATTGAGACATTGGAATTAGGGAGTCAGCAGTCAATGTGAGCCTGCTTAAAAAAAAATATTTCTTTTGTCGTTGAAAATCGGTTCTCAAAGTGTTATCGACAGCTTCATTAAAATTTGATGTAACATCGGGATATAAAAAAGGAAGATATATTTTAAAATGAAGAAAAACTTCATAATTCTTAAATATTGTGGCGGCATCGCTAAGGCTTCCTCATGTAATACCGCTTCTCCAAACATTTTCGAGAAGATTCTGTTTCAATATAATATATATATTTTTTAAATTTTCCCACAAAGTAAATTTCGGAGTCGAAAAATCTTTTTTTTTTTGTCATTCCGTTTGTAACGCCCGTACATTTCCGCCCGTCTATGGAAATCAGTCTAGCTTCCGAACGAAATGAAGTAGGTTGATAACATTTTACTCAAATGTATGTTATGTCTGCAGGACTTTTGGTATTGAAAATGGGTGATGTAGGTCCACGTTTTGGTATAGCCCCCATATAATAGTACCTCACTATTTTCGGTATTTTGATGATTTTAACGACATTGGAATTTTGTTCAAATTTGGTATTTGAAGTTCGTAATGAATACTACAGCCTAAGACAGAAACTTGTTTGTGCAGCTCCACGTCTTTGTTTAACCCCAATATAACGATACCTCCCTATATTCGGTATTTTCATGATTTTAGCGACATTATTCACCGAATTTTTTGTTCAAGTTTCGCATTTGAATATTGTAATGGCTTGTAACAAAAGTTGCCTATGCAGGTCCACGTCGTCATATAGACCCTAACGTAACGGCAACATTCGGTATTTTTAAGATTTTAACAGAATTTTTAAGGGATTTTATTTAATTAATTTTTTTTTTTTTTGAAAATTTTTAAAATTTGTTCCAAATGTTGGAGGATTTTAAAAAATCGGCCCGGCCGAACTTACATCTTGTTTACTTGTTTATATCATCATTTTGTGTTTTAAATTTACCGATATTTGTCGATTACTCATTTTTTTTTTAATGTTTACAAGACCTTTATAATTGGAAAAATTGAAAAAAATAGTCGGATCTTGCAGGTTCTGGAAAAAATCATTTATTTAGAAAACAAATATTATTTTTTTTTTTTTTTTTGAAATATCGTTCATTTTTATAAAATCTGATTTTTTTTAAGAGATTTAAAATTTTATAGCTCCATTTATTTGCTCTCTCTTTTTGTATTCGTATTTTTGGAGCGAAAACAAATTTTGATCGAAATGAATTTGAATTTGTGTCTACCAATTTAAGTCTGATAAAAATGAAACTTTTGGTGAAAACAACTGGTGTTGAACTTTACCTTTCTATATTTAACGTTTCTATCGAAATTTTTAATTAAGACAAGTTAAAATTGATATTCATTGAGATTGTTTTTTTTTTTTTTTTTTGACATCGAACATGTTTTTGTAAAACTCTTTTTTTTAGATTGACAATTCCATGGTAGAAGAAAACAGGTAGTCCCATCGACACAGCTGCTGGGACAAGGAACATTTAAACCAATTTTGGAATTGAAAATTTTAAAGATTATTGAAATTTGTTTTTTTTTTTTTTGACATATCAATGTTTCCAAGCTTTGATGCACTTACCTGGACAATTCCTTTGATTATACATCAAATAAATGGCAAACCCTCGTAAAACGCGTAATTTAGATTATAATGCGTTGGGCGTTTTAGACCACTTTTAGACTAGTCATTTTAAATCTACTCGATTTCTAAATCCAACTTTCAAATTCTACTGGTTTAGACTAGTTTAAAATGATATAAAATGTCAGTCAGCTGTCATTTGTTTATGTAAACAAACGTGTTTTTTAATTAAAATAAAAAAAAACAAATAATTATCGGCATTCTGCCAATATCTGACAGAATTTAGAAATAAGTAAGATCCCTTATGATCAGGAAATTATATAGGCATATATACTATATATACCTGAGCTGTCATTAAAGCTTTTTTCAATATTTTTACAATTCATTTTTTTTTCTAAAAATTATGGCATAAATACTAGCAAATATTATTTATAATTTTTATTTCACTCACAAGAAAAATATTTTCAAATTTATGCATCACCTTCGTTGGCTACGGTGTAGATGATTAAAGAATCACGCTAAATCGCTTATGTTCTATACTTTTATGACTTTTTAATGATTTTTTCATTTTATATTATTTTTAATTGCTAGGCTCATTTTGCACCATTTCGAATATTTTTAAAATATTCAAGATTTTTATTATATACACCCACATATCACATTTTCTGTTAGTTTTGTTTACTTTTGAAAAAAAGGTGGAAAAAAACGATTTTTTCTATTGTAGAAATGTCAAGTTTAAGAATAATATGACAAATGTGTCTGGTATTGCGATTATTTTTTTCTTTGAAAGAGAAAACTCACACACATGAATATTTAGATTTATATATAAAAATTATATTCAAAAATAATAATATTTATATTGAGAGATAAAAATATCAATATCTTCATTCCTTCAACAAAATACATTTTCGACACTTTTTCAAATGTCAAAATGGGCAATCTTTCATGGTAGAAGAATACAGGTAGATGCATCAATATTTGGGAATATTGATATGCTACAATTTTTAAAAAATATTTTCTCAAAAATAACAAGATTTTTATATGTTTTCTTATACGACGTCAATTATTGGAGGTTATTATCATGGTACAATAAGGAGGTAGAACATTTTCGTAAAACTACAGAAATACAGCCATGAGGCTATGCCCACTTCCTGTCAGACTAATTCAAAATTATAAAATTAAAAATATGATCCAATCATTCAATTTCATGGCTAAACTGGTTAATAGCTTTAATGCGCTAGCCGCAATTTACGTTTCTTCCAATCATTGGTTTTGAAAATATTAGTTATACAAAATTGACAGAAGTCGGGCACATTTAGAAAAAAAATTTAAACAGCTGATAGTTTTACCTTACCTTTTTATTGAACCATTATTATAATTAATGTTTTTCAACAATTTTTACGAATTTCAATATTTTTTCATTAAACATTTTCAGATGGTAGAAGAATACAGGTAGATGCAACAAAGCCTGGGAACATTTATGTGTCAAAAAATTAAATGTATTTTCAAATATAAGTAGATTTTTATTTGTTTTCTTTTACGACGTCATTCGGAGGTTATCGTAATACATTTTTCAACAATTTTTACAAATTTAAATATTTTTTCATTCAATATTTTAATTTCCAAAATTAGTTTGACAGTTCATTGTCGTAGCAACTGTGTCGATGCGAATACCTGTATTCTTCTACCATGCAAACTCTACAACATTGTGAAATGTTTACATTGAACAGCTGTCTGGCTGGAATCAGCTGTGTTAAGTATTTTCGATTAAAATAAAGTTGTAAAATCCGTTATCATCTAATAGTACGTTTACATGCACATTTTTTACCGAGTTTATCATATTAATTGATCAATCGCAATAAATTTAACATATGTTTTGACAATTAAATTTATAGTGATTAGGATTAACCCGGATAAACTTATAGCGTGTTTACATACGAACTATATTCACGGATTAGTGTTATAAGTTTAACGCACGTTTTCCACAGTCATATTTGTGGTGTCTTGCCATTTATTAGAAATTGATGTGTTGAGAACATCTATTCACCAACTCGTTTATACATATGTCTTTAAACTCATTTTAACGGCATTTGGAATTAACATATGCCATGTTATTCATGCATTTGCAAATCATAATAAATTTATGATAATCTATTCTCTCTGATAAATTTTATGATCTATTTAGATTAGCAACAAAACAGGTTTACTCCAAGAAAAAAAAAAAGAAGCATAACAAATTGCCCTGACCAATAACGATTCGCAAGCAATTAAAAAGCGTTCCAATTATTCAAATTTTATTTTTTTATTAAGTTTTACTTTCTTTTGGCAATTTATTAGGTGCACATTATTGGGTTAACATCAAATAGGGTTAATGAACTTATAACATATTTTGCAATCTAACGAATGATTAACCTGAAAAATAGTAGTTATGTAAATAAAACAAGGAGATTCCATAGCATATATGTTTATTTCCACTCAAATTGCCAAAAAAATCAACAACTAAATCACGAATCTTATCTATACGATTGGTTTTTATGGCCGTATAAGGAGATTTTAATGACTTAAA